ACTGATGTGTGGCTATTGGGAAATAAATAGGATTAAGGCAGAAAAGTGCCCTTTTACAAGCTTCAGATAGTGAATAACCCTTCTGTAGCTATATGATGTAGAAGTAACTGGTTGCAACATAAATACACCTAGCATGCTTATGAATGTTAGCAGACTCCATGTGTGCAGTAAGTCCAAGAGCCCTCATAGGCTGTCATGGAAAAGTGCTAACGTTTAAGCAGGAGGCTCCCTGCCCATGGAATTAGGTCTTTAATGTCCCTTCTAACCCAAACCATTCTGTGATTCTAAGCTGGGAAGAGAGCTACTGAAATTCATTTAGGGATAAAGACATATACATCAGAACATCTCTTAAATCCAGATTGCCCATGACTCAAAGATAGTGACTACATCAGTAGCAGTTAATTAAATGTGCTGGGGGCTGCTTTGTCACCAGCATCAACAGACAAGGATCCACATCTTCATTGCTCTGCTTAGAGCTCCCCAACCAGGGACATGCCTACAGGAGCATGGTCCTGGCCTGTGCTGTTTCCTGAGACATCTCCTAAAGGGGCAGGGGAGGGTGCTGGCTGCCCAGCCAAAACACAGCAGACAGCTGAAGTACAGTGTTTGGGGATATTCTCTGATACAGTTTGATGATGACCTGGCCCCTACACGTGGGAAGGATGGGGAACAAGCTGCTGTGAGGGAGGTGAAAGCAGGAAGAAGGGTAACTCCCCCTTTTCAGTGGCTGCCTGAATTTACGGTAGATTAAATGGTTACAGAAGTCTATGGCCACAGTATACAGGTAAAGGGAGGTCCTAAAAGCTAAATTTAGATCATTAGGTATAGAGAGTGTGTTATGCTGCACCAGCACAGGGAATGTACTGGAAAAGATAAGCTCATACAGAAGACCAGTCTTCTGTAACTAGACAAAACTGAGACAAAAACTAGACAAAAACTGAGACAGTGATCCCATCATGACCATAGTACTGATAGTGGAAACTATAAAGGATAGAGTGAAGTTCTAGTTGCAAATCTAGTGAAGAAAACAAGTGAAAGTATTTCCTCTTTCTGCACCAGAAAAATGTCTGAGGAGAAGGGGAAAGTGTACACATTGCATACTGGTATAGCTAAGGAGAAACAGAGACCAACCTGACCAAAGTCAGGAAGGCAGCCTTAATATCTTGTTTCAGCCCCTTCTCAAGTATAAACCAAATGAGCATATGTGAGCAACTCAGGTTTAACAGCTAATCTAGTACACTGCTCTTGATGAGCATATATAGGTAATGATTTTACATCATATGATTAGAAATAATATGTTAAAAACCAATAGGATTTCAGTTGCAATTCATCAGGGGTCCTCCTGTTTGACAGTAGTTTATTCAGTAGTCAGGTGTGCAGTGTAGCCTCTCTTCTTACTAAGTCTTGGAAAGATCATCTGTGATATTCTGCATAAAGAGAAGCAGAATAGACAGTTGAAACTATTATCTGAGCTGTAGTTATGGAACAAAATTGTTGCTGTATTCAGTTCTGGGTCAGAATCCTTAAAGGGAAATAAAAAGATAAACCCTTCAGAACTAAATAATATAGAACATATTATATATAATATAATATAAATATAATTATATTATATATATTTTATAATATAATATATTTATATTTATATCTATATATTATATCTGTATATTATATTATATTATTATATTATACTATATATAATTATATATATTATATATTATATATTATATTATATAGAACATATAGAACTAAATAATATAGAACAAAAATATCTAGATAAATAAGTAAATAATAAATTTAGCTTTCCAGTGTAGTCTCTCTCTGTAAGAGACCTTTGGTGGAACTTTTAATACAATGGATGGAACATTCCTTGATGCAATTTCTAATATGAAATTAAATCTTGCAGGTGCCACAAATAAATGTTATATCAATAAAAAATATTTTATATTTACTATAAGAAGAGATAAAAAAATGAATTAAAGTGGGCAGAAAATAATAATAATAAAAAAAATATTTTGAAGTACCGACAAAAGAGTTTTAAGTTACATTGAACATATAGAAGTTCAAACCCAGTTAGAGTTTTCAGTTCTAACTGTTGCCTATATACATAAAGTATACTTACATATGAATGCAAATTCTTGACTGGGTATATGTATATTTTTATTATTATTATTTTGAAATTTATATTAAATTGTGAAAGGAAGAAACAAAAAATACTTCCACTGGAAATATTTTGCTTGGCTGTGCTTTTAAAGCATCTGATCTGACATGGTGCTGACTGAGATAAGGTTGGTGAGTAACCTGTTTGCCACTAATGTCCAGAACTTTTGAATTCTGAGCTAAATCCACTTTAGATTAGCATTTTGACTGCATTGGATAACGACATATTTTCATATAACTGTGGCTAAATGGGGTACAATACCCAACGTTTGAACATCTATAATACTCAGTTAAGCTTAGGTCTTCTATCAGAGGATTTTTTGTGAGTTTCCATGTAACCTTTTTTTTGCTAGTTTTCCTCTTCCCACAGTGTGCTTCTTTTTGCTTTTTCTGAGTGTGTATGTGTGTAGTCCTAATTTTTATGTTCTATCATTTTTATTTTTCTAGGCAGAGTAAATGTGTATACTTCTGCAAAGAAAAATGAATATTATTTGATGGAAGTGGAAACCATTTTTCAGTTAATATCTCACTGCCATCTACTGTGCATGTTTTAAAACTGCACCATGGAGAAAGCTGTGTTTCAGCAATGTAAGACTACTCTTAGTCAATTTGCTCTGAAGTTGAGGAAAACTCCTCAGAGCTCTTAGTAGACTGTGACATATAAATTCCATTCTTTGTGTAGGAATCTGTCTCTTAATTAGATGACAAAGTCTGATGATACTCAATATTGTCTAGAAGAAAAGAACATCAGATTTTCCTTAAGTAGTTTTCATTCAGGGCAGATGAAAAGTAGATACATACTTCTGGGAGGAAAAGAGTACCTCACTTTGCTTATTCTTGCCCTAAATAATAAAACCATTCACTTCTTAGTGGATATTTTGACATAAAAAGAGATAGTGGGATTGAGATACAGAAATTTGCAGATTTTTTATTTTATTTTTTTAAGTCAATAAATTATTATGTTCTTCTTTTAAATTATCTTTCATCTCTGTCTGGAAACATACAAACACCAGTCATATGCAATGTTGTGTGTAGGATGGGATATAATCATTTACCCTAAATTGTGAAATTATTAAGTTGAAAATAAGATGTCAGAATTCTGACTGCCAGGAACTGAATAAGATATCACACAAGTTAGCTCTGCATTACCGATGCTTTCGTACCAGTTTATGTAGGAATTACAAAGTCTATTCAAGGCAGAAATTTCCGTGGTTTTCATCAGGAAAGCTCAGATCAAACAGACAAGAATGAGTAAAAATCATCTAACTGTGCCTTTTACATAAGGGAACTCATTTTCTTTGTCTATTATTGTAATAGCTTTATTAGTTTCAATAGACTACAAATATGTATAACTTACATCATTAACTATTAGTATTGCATGAAAAAGTAAAAAATAAGACCATTAAGTTTGCAAAATCAAGCACTTAGAAGCTGAAGAAATGCCTTAATTTCCTCCTTCATATTGGTTACGTTACAGCATAATTAGATTTTTTTTTTCTTCTATTTTTACTCAGTAATTGTTCTGAGGCCTAGTTTGCTCAACATTATTCAACCTTTAGAACATTAAATAATTCATGACTTTTCTAAGGTGTTCATTGTTCTCATACTTCAATGCTTTGCAAATATTAATCCATGTTTATAAAATCTGATATTTTGGGATTAGAAATGGTGGCATAGACAGATTATGTACTTTATGTGATCATAACATCCTTTCTGTTATCTTCTGAGGCAAATGTGTTTATGTAAGAGTTCAAGCAACAACAGAAATTCAACCAGGAGAATGAGTCACTGGTTTCTGACACTTACCCCCTTCTGTCCCGTCTCCTCAACCCATTTGCCTTTTTTTTTTCTTCTTCTTCTTCTTTTTTTTTTTTTTTTTTTTTTTTTTTTTTTCCAGTGCCACCATCCAAGTCCCAATCTCTTTCACTCCCTGCCCAAAATGGCTATTTATTTTGGCTGATAGTTATTTTGGCTGACCTCCCCCTAGTCATATTCTTTCCGTAGAACGCACTGAGCAATTTAAGCCTAAATTTGATAATGTTAAAAAATAACTTCAGACCAAATTCTTATTAGGAAAGCTGTCATTAACTCCGTAACAGGTAATAAGAGTAGTGATGCCCATAATGTAAGGTTTACTATGCTACTAAAGTTCATTGTGTTCTCCTTGTCTTCCTGTGGACCACTTGTCAGAGTTGGTCTGTAAATCATCCTTTAGCCACACTTTAAGCTTGAGTTAGTAGCAGTGGGGATTTTCTTTTTTCTTTTACTGAATGTGTAAGATTTCTTAACAATTTGTGTATTTTTCTGGCACTCTGGCACTTTTTTTTCTATATATATATATATTTTTTTTTCCTATTGGAGAATAATTTCTGGACTGAATCCTTTGTTGTTGTTGTTGTTGATTTGAGTGTTATAAGTTTTCTAGCTCACCCTGCAGAGGAGATGCTGCCACACTCAGGATCTTAATTAGAACTACATCTGTAGGAGAATGTTTTACAAGTATGTAACATTTGGCTCCTAAAATGCCAAATGAAATGGAAGAAAAGATCAAAATGTGCATTTAATGAGGTATGCTATTATTCCAAGACAACACTGTGCCTTTACAGTGCAGTGCAAATTCTGCATATGAAACTAATAGATAGGACATTTTTAAGTCCCATCATTCTGTAGTCATCAATGGAAGAGGAAAATGTTTTAAATAAAGAAGGGAGTATTAAGCATTTTGATCTCTCTGTAATGAAATATTGTTTATGTGACTACACTGAAAATTTGTGAAGGAATTACACTGCGAAGTAAAGATGCAGATTTTTTATTTATTTATTTTATTTTGTTAAATGTTTTAGATTGAAATCCTTACTGCCCTCATGTGGATGAAAACGCATTTCATTTTCTCTGTCTGCTGAAACTCGAAGTGGACATGTTTCATTAGAAGAGCTGTACGTACAACAGTATTTACACAGCAAATGAAGGACAATTTGGCCACTGAACTGATGCTGATTTCTGATGCCTCAAGCAGTATGTCTAGGAGTCTGTAAATATATCTGCTTCATTTAATTCTGGAGAATCAGGTGTGCCATGAGTGTTAAGAATCTGCCCCCCAAATTCTGTCTGGAGAAAGACACTTTTGCAGCTGACAGAAGTTGATGAAGGCTCTTTCTGAACCAAGTAATGTGTATCCTGAATTGATCAGAAGGGTCAGTCCAGAAGGTACATGCAGTATTTCCAAATCCCTTTGAGCTCAGGTTAGGAGACAAGCCAGGGAACTGAGCACGAATCTCTAATATAGCAACATGCATCTGCTTTAGGAGCAATGATAATAAAGTGGTACGAAAGCAACAACATAAAAAGAAAAAATGTACTTCACATACTGACAAAGCTGACAAAGTTACTCACAGCTATTACTCTATGGTGTATAGACAATTGCTGTGTATATTAGCATACTTTTTTTTTTTTTTCAGGAATTGATGTTGGAATTACAATGTTACCTAGATGTTATTATACCTTTGCCTGTATATTATTATACCATTAGAAATTGTGTTACATTATTATCTAACAATAACATTTCATTGCACAGCATATTAGTTGACCATACACCTGCCATAAACAAGTAGTCCAAAAAAGTTTAATGAATAACACTGTAAAGATACAGATGATTGTGATAATATACTTTGTAGAAAAAGAAAAAAAAAAAAAAAAAGAAAAAAGAATTAGTCATTAGTCATTTACAAAGCAAACAGCAAAACCTAATTGTATAACATTGAAATAAGGGATTTGATTGATTGTCTTTGCCAGTCTAGCTTTTGTGCAGAACTGTGAGATACAGAATGATAGATAAGCTTTTTAAGGATTTTATTTGCTAAATAACTGAACACCAAATCTAACTATATTTCTGCTCTTTCTTAGGCCATAAACATATTTCAGTGTCTACACATAACTGTACAAAGTATTAAACACATTTCTCTAAATTATGTTCTGAGCTGACTCAGATAATAAAAATGGAGGCGCTCTTTTTTTTAGGGAGTTTGAGATAAAAAATGCTTTTCAAAGCATTAACAAAAAGTTAGTTACCTTGTTAGCATGCAAGGGAAAAGTCAGTTTAAATAGAAACAGGAATACGGTAACCTGAACAGCCCATGTTCAGATAACCTGCTCTTTGATTGAATTATTTGTATTTTCTCCAACCGCTGTTCACACCAAGGTCTTTCAAGGATATGTTGTCTGCAGTAATAAAATAAAGATTGAAAATCAGATCTGATGTGGAGGCCTGTAACTTAGAATGGGGAAGAAAAGCTCATGGCTATCTGCCAGCTGACAGGTGGGCGAGTTATCGCTGGAGACGATGCGATGTCACTTAAAGAGCATTGCTGGCTGCAGATCCCAGGTGCTGCGCTCAACGATCTGCTCCCTGGGGCTCTGTTTCTGATAAGGAGGGTTTTATAGGCTATGTGGACCAGGATTACTATCTCTATTGTCACTCTGTACAGTAATGCTGTAACCTGCTATTGATGGGAGAGAGCTGGAGCCATGCTGGGAGGAAACACTGGGCTGAGTAACAGGCTGTGGAAGAGCCTGATGTGAGGCCTCAGTGCCTCCTAGGATGTGTGGAGGGGGACTGTAGGTTTTTTCCCTTTCTAGCAACCCTATTTTTACACAATCTGTGCTGTATAGTTTTCAGCAGTTATTACAAATAGCTTCGTCACTCTTACTCAAAGGGGTGGCTTGATTTTCTCAATGATAGTGGAGGCTTTTGCAGAAAAAGGCTAGTCCAACTTTCTTATCCACCCTGTTCCCTCTGAGGGCTGGCAATCCACACAGTAGAAGTAAAACTTGTTCTTATGTTCTCCCCCCCTCAAGAACTTATCATTGCACACAGATCTTCTCTGGGGATTTGCTTTCTGTATAGTGTTCTTCAAAAGAACACTTTAGTGTTCTTGACTAAAATAAATCACTGCTAATATCACAGAATCAAAGAATCACAGAATTTCTAGGTTGGAAGAGACCTCAAGATCCTTTTCAACATGGAATGGGTTGTCCAGGGAAGTGGTGGTCTCCATCCCTGGAGAAAATAGATAGATGTGACACTAAGGGACATGGATTAGTGATGAGACTTGCTACGTAATGTTGGACTAGATGATCTTGGAGGTCTTTTCCAACCTAGATGATTCTGTGTTTCCATGATAACAGCCTAAGCAAACCTAAGAACAGCAGAGCCCCAAGGGAGAAAGGGCCTTGGAGTCAGGGCTTTTGCTCTCAAGATCAGGGAGCATGAGGAGGAGGACACAGAGGAGGAGGCCACACAAGTGTCACTGTAGACAAGGTCCACCACCCTGGAATGTCTTCTGGAGTGGAGGGAGCTGCTTCCATGCTTGCTGCTGGTACCCATGGAAAGTCTCCTCAGATGGCCATCCTCACCCTGTGGCCCTGCTGTTGGGGAGCCTGGAGAGTCTGTCTCTCAGATCTTCTCTGGGGATTTGCTTTCTGTATAGTGTTCTTCAAAAGAAGCCTGTAGCAAGAATTCGGAAGTTACTTCTGTTGACTGTGCTTTTGCTGACAAAATCAGGACTGTAATTGAAGTCTGAATTTAATAAAAGTTTTCATGCATTGGGACCTCAGCAACATAGTCTTTATAGTCACTGCTTTTCTGCTAATCTCTAATCTCTATTGCATCATGGTAGCGATACGGGAGCTGATGTTTAACCAAGGAAAACTGTTCATATTCAGTTTTCTGGTTAAAGTGACAGTTGCCGTTTGGGACTGTGTTAGCATTGCTGGTCATCTGGATATTGTCTGTGTAGTTTAGTATTGTCCTGAAAATCACAGAATCACAGAATCACAGAATCACAGAATTTCTAGGTTGGAAGAGACCTCAAGATCATCGAGTCCAACCTCTGACCTAACACTAACAGTCCCCACTAAACCATATCCCTAAGCTCTACATCTAAACGTCTTTTAAAGACTTCCAGGGATGGTGACTCCACCACCTCCCTGGGCAGCCTGTTCCAATGTCTAACAACCCTTTCGGTAAAGAAGTTCTTCCTAACATCCAGCCTAAAACTCCCCTGGTGCAACTTAAGCCCATTCCCCCTCATCCTGTCACCAGGCACGTGGGAGAATAGACCAACCCCCACCTCGCTACAGCCTCCTTTAAGGTACCTGTAGAGAGCAATGAGGTCGCCCCTGAGCCTCCTTTTCTCCAGGCTGAACAAGCCCAGCTCCCTCAGCCACTCCTCGTAGGACTTGTTCTCCAGATCCTTCACCAGCTTCGTCGCCCTTCTCTGGATCCACTCAAGCACCTCGATGTCCTTCTTGTAGCGAGGGGCCCAAAACTGAACACAGTACTCGAGGTGTGGCCTCACCAGAGCCGAGTACAGGGGGACGATCACCTCCCTATCCCTGCTGGTCACACTGGTTCTGATACAAGCCAGGATGCTGTTGGCCTTCTTGGCCACCTGAGCACACTGCTGGCTCATATTCAGATGACTGTCTACCATCACTCCCAGGTCCTTCTCTGCCTGGCAGCTCTCCAACCACTCATCTCCCAGCCTGTAGCTCTGTTTGGGGTTATTGCGCCCCAGGTGCAGGACCCGGCACTTGGCCTTGTTGAACTTCATGCAGTTGACTTCAGCCCATCTGTGCAGCCTATCCAGATCCTCCTGCAGAGCTTTCCTACCCTCAAGCAGATTGACACATGCACCTAGCTTGGTGTCATCTGTGAACTTACTGAGGGTGCACTCAATGCCCTCGTCCAGATCATCGATGAAGATATTAAAGAGGACCGGCCCCAGCACCGAGCCCTGGGGAACGCCACTAGTGACTGGCCTCCAACTGGACTTAACTCCATTTACCACGACTCTTTGGGCCCGGCTATCCAGCCAGTTTCTAACCCAATGAAGCGTGTGCCAGTCCAAGCCAAGAGCAGCCAGTTTCTTGAGGAGAATGCTGTGGGAGACGGTGTCAAAAGCCTTGCTGAAGTCAAGGTAGACCGCATCCACAGCCTTTCCCTCATCCACTCAGTGCGTCACTTTGTCATAGAAGGAGATCAGGTTCGTCAAGCAGGACCTGCCTTTCATAAACCCGTGCTGACTGGGCCTGATCGCCTTCTTGCCCTGCAAGTGCTGCATGATGACTCTCAAGAGGATCTGCTCCATGAGCTTCCCTGGTACTGAGGTCAAACTGACAGGCCTGTAGTTCCCTGGGTCTGCCCTCCGGCCCTTCTTGTAGATGGGCATCACGTTTGCTAGCTGCCAGTCAACTGGGACCTCCCCCAATAGCCAGGACTGCTGATAAATGATGGATAGTGGCTTGGCCAGCTCCTCCTCCAGTTCTCTCAGTACCCTTGGGTGGATCCCATCCGGCCCGATCGACTTGATATAATAAATAATAAAACTTATTATGTACAACACAGCACTTGAAATTTAGTGAGCAAACAAAGGTCTCAATAACATGAGAGCAAGTTATGAGGCATGCAGGGCTCCGTGGTACTGCCTTTCCACAGGTTTCTACTCCAGGGCATGTGTAAAAGAAGGGGAGTTGCCTTCTCCATGCAGGCAGCCAGATGGCTGCTGCAGAGCATCAGCCATCAATATGATTTGACACTTACAGGAGCTATTTTGTAAGGCTTAAACATACACACCAAGCAGGCTATGTGTCATTTTACCTGTGCATGTCAGACTTTTCAGAGGTAAAATAATAGAAACTGTTACTACCTGAAACTTGCAGTAAGCTCTTGCTTTAGTTTTCAGGAGGACATTGTAGAGAAAATTGGATGTGGCACTGACTGGAAATTATATTTCTTTTTAATGAGCATTCTGTACAGTGCAAAACTTCACAATGTGAGATCACTGTGCAAACTGTACAGCAAAACTCTGGTAAAATTCTGTCGGTCTTCTGACTGGATTGCCACTTGTTTCAGTTTGATTTTTCCTTCATCTGCTGCTGCCTTAACAATATTTCAAAGACTCAGGTGAAAAAGAAAAAGTGTATTTAAAATGCAATACAGAATGCAGTGTTCAACTATATATTCATCCCAGTTCTGATGCCCTGCAATAAACTAGCTAATAGAATGACAAAACAAAATTGTGATATGGAAATTTGTGTAATCAAAACCATCTTGTTGTAATGCCCCTTTGTGTCAAGTATTACTTCTCTCTGACCTCATTAGGTGTGCCTAGTCATTAGATACAGTGTTACTAAAGAGTTTTAACTTAAAAGCGGCTTTGATTAATGATTGGTTGGACTGAAGTTTTACTTTGTAGGATTAACTAGATTTAAAAATGGCAAAATGCCATAGTAGTATTAATACCAGACTTTAACGAGAAGCAGAAGTAAACTCCAAGGACCCTTGCGATTTTAATATGGGTTAAACTCATGTTCTCATTACCTTAATGCCCTGTCCTGTTTTAAAAGGCAGTATTGTAATAATTCCTAAAGAATAGTAGCATAGGCGGCAGATTAGCAGATTACAAATATGTAATCTCAAATATATATCTTCCTATGTGTTTAATGATTTTTTTTTTTTTAATGATTTTGGAATCAGATTCATTCAGCCTTTTTATCAAATAGAGAAAAAATGTTTCATACTGGTTTGGGCCTTTATTCTTTTAGTTAAAAAACAATGTGGAAGTAAGTCAAAGTCATACTAGCAAATATTTCTCCCAATAAATAATGTGCTGCCATTGTAGTAAAAAAAAAAAAAAATCCTCACAGCAAAAAAATCTTTCTAATTTCAGGAACTCTGAGAATCTCTGAGAATTCTTCCTGTATTGATCCTGATTTCATCATTTTGGTTATTTTTCAGTGAACTTTCAGTAACAGAAAGCGTGTAATGAATTTTGTGTTTCAGCACAATAATGTGCTGTGAGAATTAGGCAGTGTGTGCTAATCATCAATAATAGCAGTTCTTTACAGAGGTGGCATTCCTTCTGCCAAAGCAAGTAAGACTATGTCCAGCCAAATACTTGGGCTGCAATGCCTAATTTCTCATGTAAATCAGGGATATATTGGACTTGACTTAAATAGGATTACTCACTCAAGCAAATTTACGCAAGGGTCTAAGGCACGTATCCAGCTTTTAGTGAGTTAGAGTCTACGTACTTGTTTGGCTCTGGGCCCTAGGCACTTGCATAACATTGCTTGCATGAATTATCCCATTAAACTGAGACCCACATAAACATTATTACTCATACCAGCAAAACTGTGCATGTGGACAAGTGCTGACAGTTGGGGATCCTGCTTCCTCTTGTACTGTATTGAAAAGTTCTGTTTTCACTGATGATCAAAGCTTATTAACCAAGCATTACATCTGCAGTCTCCATCAGTAATTTCTGTGCCACTGAGTTCTTTGACTACATTCTAATATTGCCTTGTATTCTTTACTTAATTGACTCATTGATATTTTTTTTCTATTTATTTATTTATTTTTTTTTTAGGAAGAAGGGCAACAAAAACAAAGGAGAAAAAAAAGAAGAAAAAGAATTTGATGGAGAGGGCTCAGAAGCAGCACAGCATCTTTTTAGCTACAGATAAAACAAGCCAGTAAAGACTTGATTTTTTTTTTTTTAATATATTTTTGCGAAGTGCACAAAAGCTGCTATACGCTCCTGCCCATGGATGCACTACGATTCAGCTGCTTTAACAGTATTGGTGGCAAATAACTTGTGAAAAGAAGCCCACAAGCTTGTTTGTTTTATTTATATATTTTTTATTTTATTTTTTCGTCTTATTTTTGACCTGAAGACTTCAAGGTCAGGAGCGCACTGAGTTGAATCAGTGGAAGTGGTGCTGAAGTGTGTCAAAGATTTTGTACTGAGTGCTTGGTCAACATGTTGACACTGAATGGAAGCAGGAAAGAAACCTATGTATCACCATTAGGCGGACTTGTGCATATTTAAATAAAAAAAAAAAAAAGGAAGTCTTGGAGGTGTAGGTACTATTGCATTTATGGCCTTTTCCCCCTATATTTGTACATTTCAAGATTCAATGGGTATGACTTACCTACTTAGTGTTAATGTGCATTGTTCTCAGCACCTGCTACATTGAAACAGTTGTATAATAAAACTGCTTTAAAACAATATACCACAGGAATTACTGCTTAGAGTTATGGATACGCAACAGACCCTATGTGTACATATTATGCTGTCTACATATAAATGAACATATTTACTGTACATCTATGCATTTTTATGTATAATACTTTATACAGGTTTAAAGTTATATCCAATTGGTTCTAGTAATATACTTTAAAATAACCCGGTAAATGTTTACTTTTTACTATGTTTTAAGTATCTTTTCATATTTCTCAGTAGTTCCAAACTGGATTTTTTTTTTCTCATTTGTAAAGCACATTCAGATGGCTAAACTACCTTGTACTGGCCCTCAGTGGACAGTGGAGTGTCAGCTTTGAAGTATACTTACCAGACTAGTAAAAGAAAAGTTTTTTCTGCTATTCTGTACTCCTATCTCATCCCCTGTGTATTTTGTCTAAGAAAAAGAAGGGTAACTTTTTTAAGATGAGGCATAATGATGATAGATGTTTTGAGTATCAGGAAAGAAAGTTTACAGAAGTTCTTGGTATCTAAGATTGTATGTGTAGTTTCTCAAATATGATGCACAATGATTTATTTCTGTTAGTCCTGATCCAGTCAGATACAACAGTTGAACACCTGAGTACAGAGAATCAAAAGAAAAACACTGTAAGAGCAGTCATTCAAAAGTATATCAAGCACCAGTCAATATTCCAGAATTTCCAGTTACTTGTAGGTTTAGAAAATTTAATCTGCATCTGGGTTGGGGACAGGAGGGCAGGGGGATGTCTTTGTAGGAAGTTAAAATGGCTCAGGATGTCTAATTTGGTAGTCCTGCATTAT